AATATAGGTGAGAGATTAGTTCCTGAGGCTATGGTAACGAAGTGCCACACTGGGTGACAAATAACAGAAACTTACTGTCTGAAGTTCTGAAGGCCAGATGTCCGAGGTTAAGGTGTCAGCAGGGTGATTCCTTCTGAGGGTTGTGAGGGAGAATCTGTTCCACGCATCTCAACTGTCTTCTGGGGTTTGCTGGCCATCTTTGGATTCCTTGGCTCGTAGACACGCCACCCAGTCTCCGCCCTCCTCTTCACACAGCGTCTTCCCCATGTGCATATCTGTGCGTCCAAATTTTGCCTTTTTATAAGGACACCAGTGATGCTGGATTAGGACCCACCCTAATGACCTCACTTAACTTGATCTTTGCAAGGACTCTATTTCCCTATAAATGAGGTCACATTTATAAGTACTGGAGATTAAGACTTCCAACATCTTTTTTAGGGAACACAGTTCAACCCGTAACGTACATTATTCTCTGCTTTGCTTTGGTTCTCATCCAGGCCGCATCTGGGGACATCTGTCCCGATCTGTGCACGTGGAAGTATCTTACACTTTCTAACTTTTGCGTGACAGTCTACGGTATGGCTATAATTGCTCTTCCCCCGTGGACGTTATTTCGGTTATTTCTAGTTTTTCACCGTTACAGTGCCGCAGTCAGCATCCTTGCACAGACCGTTTTCAGGGCTGCAAGGGTTTCTGAGGGATCAGTTCCTCGAAATGGGTTGCAATCAAACCCATTTCTTTTTAAACTTGGAGAGACCCTGCCAAATTGTTCTCCAAAAAGACTGTAACAGTTATGGTTCCACAATCAGTTTGAGGCCCCACGGTCTTTGAATTATTTTTGTTTTCTACTGTTCAGTGATTTGAAAGCTCTGCCCTTGAAATCCACTTGGTGCAAAGGTGGGCAGGTGTGCGAACAGACTGAGAAAGTGGAGTGTTGCGGGACAGGGGCTGTGTGCTGGTTAGGGCTCATGAGCTGCCTATGGGGCTTGATTGTCAGTTTGCAGACTAGTTACAGATTGTTACTTCAGTTTCAAAATTAATTCCTTTTTTTTTTTTTGGCTACCTAATACAGCTATTGGAAAAAAAATCCTAAAAATGATACAAGATATAAAGTTTAAGCATGTGTAGTCTAGAAACATAATTAACAATATTTCAAAAGTTGCATAATATTGCTTTGTTCTTCCCCAGAGAGCACAGTGGGCTAAATGTTGAATGTTGAAAATTTTTCAATTTAATGTAATATTATCTGAGTAACAATATAAGAGGTTGATTCATTAAAGATTGAAGCGTCATCCTTTTGGAAAAGCCGCAGAATATATATGCACCTGTGTGAGTATGTAAAATGTACTTTGTTTTAGCGTTCTCCTCTTTCTTTGTGCCTTTATTTTACATTCAGTCCAATGTCCTCATTCATATTTTTCAGTCTGTCAGAAGCTGTTTTTAAATAATCTTTTTGAACCCTGAAGGGTCTAAATAAAACATACAAAGTGGGCTCAAAGGCAGCCCCCCTAGAGAGCGTGGGGCTTTGTCAGCCTCTCTCCGGCCTGCTGTGTGCCCTTTTCATTTCAAACACATCTGTACACAGGGATTCTCTTGGTGTAGAGAATTATGATTTCGAAAAATAGGAAGTACACATTTGTATCCTGATTCAGCTGATGGTTGAATTCCTGGGTCTTACCAGATACACAGTACAAACTTCCCTTGTGTCTTTTTTCTTTTTTTCTTTTTTTTTTTTTTTTTTTTTTGCAGAGTCCAGTAAAAGGTGAAAACAGTGAAATAATCTTAGACCCAAACGCAGTGCTGCCCGGTGATGAAGATGCTTTGTTTCCTCCGCTGAAATCTGAAGACAGTGGGATCGGGCTCAGTGCCTCGTCTCCAGAGCTCTCTGAGCACTTGAGGGTTCCCAGAGTTTCTCCAGATAAAGACGACGTTTGGAAGAAGGGTGGGAGCATGCAGAGGACGTTTCTTTGCATCCAAGAGCTGATTGCCAACTTCGCCCACAAGAACATTTTTGGAGTCCAGCTGGTGGCATCTGGAGAAGAAACCAAGTTGGAGGAGCCCGCCGGTCAGAGGGACGAGGGCGGGATGCACGGTGCAGCCGCCAGCGGCGCGGGCAGGAGGACCCCGTGGGAGGCGAAGCCCGTCAGCGTGCCCCAGTTCAAGCAGATGCTCTCAGACCTGTTCACCGCCCGAGGGTCTCCATTTAAGACCAAAAGCATGGAGTCGCCTCCGCCTCTGCCCAGTAGCCCCGGCCACCGGAAGGAGGGAGAGTGGGCCATGGGCCAGGTGGTCATCGACCTGGGGAGCTCCAGAGAGGGCTGCAGGGAGGCCTTCGCGGCCGCCTGCCACCTGCTGCTGGAGTGCGCCACCTTCCCCGTCTACCTGTCCGAGGAGGAGACCGAGCGGCTCTGCGAAGTGCTCTTCCAGCTTCCAGGTGAGAGGGCAGCCCCCACCCCACTCCCTGCTGGGGCCCACCTGGGGAGTCATGTGACTCAGGCAGTGGATGCGTGTAGACCAGCTAAAGTCACATCAGCCGAGAAGGGACCTGTTGCCACATTTGTCTCCTTCCTTGTTTTGTGATTAGTGCGTACAGTTTTGATTTGTGTCTCACCAGATGGAAAGTTGGTGAGGCTGGGTCTGTATTTTTAAACTTTGGGTGTCCAGCATAAAGATCTGGGACATTAAAAATGCTTAATGATAGTCAGGAAATAGACAATTTCATGATACCTGCTGTTAAAGCTTTGTCTGTTAGTTTGCTAGGGCTGCCATTACAAAGAGCCACAAACTAAGGGATTTAAACAGCAGAAATGTATTGTCTCACGGGTCTGGAGGCCAGAAGTCTGTGGTCAGCTGTTGGCAGGGTCATGCTCCCTCTGAAGGTGCTGGGGAAGGATGTGGTCCAGGCCTGGGAGCTCCTGGGCTCGGGGGCAGCCTGACTCCAGTCTCTCCATGGTGTTCTTCCTGTGTACATTTCTGTATTCAAATTTCCCTTTTATCAGGCCCCAGTTATACTGGGTCAGGGCCCACTCTGCTGTGACCTCATTTTAACTAATTGCATCTACATCGACGGTATTTCCCAATGAGGTCACATTCCAAGGTGCTAGAGGTTAGGATTTCAACATAAGAATTTTTATGAGGACACAGTTCAACCCATAACAGGGTTGTATCTTAGCTGGGGCTGCCATAACAAAACACCGTAGACTGGGTGGCTGGCACAACAGAAAGCTATTTGCTCTCAGCTCTGGGGTGGAAGTTCGAGATCAGGGTGCCCGCAGAGTTGGTTTCGGACGAGACCTCTCCGCTGGGCTACAGGCTGCCCCCTTGTCCCTGTGTGCTGACATCCCCGGGGGTGGTGTGGGTGGGGGCGTCTCTCTGTTGTCTCTTCTTACAAGGGCACCAGTCCGATCATGCAGGCCACACACCCAGGACCTCTTCTAACTAGACCTAATCACCTCCCACAGGCCCCACCTCCAAACACCATCACATAGAGACTGGGGCTTCAGCCTGTGAATTTTGAGCAGATACAACCGAGTCCATCACAGACAGTGAACACTTCAAAGGAAAACGGGGTAGAAGGGAGGGTGGAAAGCAAGAAAAAGTGATCAAGTTGGCAGGAGCAGAGGATGAAGATTTCCCCTCTTGTAGTCATTGCCTCGAACTCCCCACTTCTCTCTTGGCTCCACAGCTGCACCTGACTGCACGCCGGGAAGAACTGCATTTAGAATTGATATCCTCAGTGTATTTTTGCCCTCTTTTAAAGCTAATGCCATGTGCCCTACTACCAAGAGAGCTTCAAGAACACATTTTGAACTCTACACCAAAAAAAAGTGACTTTCTCTATGTGTAAATTTCAAAAAGAACGTGTAATGCAAATTTTACTATATGCAAATTTTTAAATAAAAGAGAAGCAAACGTTTTGAATCATCTTAAAACCCCGAGACTGACATTTGCAGAATTTGAATAATCTGACAAGCACATGAAACCAGACTTGGTCTAACTTGTCCTCTGGCCCTGAATGGGGACAGCATATTGTGTCCCCACCAGAAGGATATCACACTGCTGCCCAGGTGACTTGCCAGCTCTAAAGGTGTCTTATTTAGAGTCTGCAGGTTGGTGAGCCAGTCTCATGTGGGTGTGTCTGTCTCCATCCTCTCTGGTTGGTTTCCTTGCAGGAGATGGTGATTTCAGTTTTCCATCTTGGCTGAAATCCCTCATGACCATCAGCTGCTGCGTGACTGACTGCTACCTCCAGCATGTGGCCATCTCCACTCTGCTGGAAGTGATAAACCACTCCCAGTCCCTAGCACTCGTCATTGAAGACAAGATGAAACGCTATAAAAGCTCTGGACACAACCCATTTTTCGGGAAGCTGCAGATGGTGACGGTTCCGCCCATCGCTCCAGGAATATTGAAAGTCATCGCAGAGAAAACAGACTTCTACCAGGTAGTTCCCACCAGGAAGAGGGTGGATGGGACCCTTGGACCCTCTTCCCAGACTATTTATTTGTCATTGTCCCTAAGATTGTAGTGGCAGTGACGGAATACGGTGTCTCTGGTGGCAGCCAGAGAGGGTTGCTGGGGACCTGTGCCTGGCTTGGCCATCTCTCTAACCCGGGCTCCTGGCACAATTTCTGTCCCCACAGCAAGTGTTCAGTAACATTTGTGTTCAGATTTAGGCTGACTAGACCCCATATGAGTGAAGATTGCTAAATTATCTAAGTATACAGAAAAAGAGAGCCTGTCCTAATTTGTGAGATTAGAGGCTTTGAGGTTATTTAACCTCAGGGAAAACTTAGTACTCGTCAGATTTAAGAAAGATTATTCGCTGAAGGTGGTGAGCATGTGTTGTCCATCTTTCTTGGGGACAAATTAGGAAAATAAGGTCTCATAGGGCTCATGTAATTGCAAGGAGCTGAAAGCTACTCCAGCTGCTCGTGAAAAAAAAAAAGTGAAGTTTATTATGACGATGGGAGAGCCCGTGGAAGTCAAAGGGCGGGAGAGGAATGCAGCTGGGTCCCCTGGGGGCTCACCTGGGAAGCCATCACATCCCAAGGCTGCTTGCTCTGCACATCTCCCTGCCAGCCAGAACCTAACTTGGTTTCTGCTTGACCATGTCTGCCTCAGGACCCTCAGACCTGGTTCTCATAGCTAATAATGCTTGTATCTCTTTCTAACAATTCTGAACTAACCTGTCACAGCTATTAAATAGGCAGCCAGTGGGGCACCCTTGGGTCAGGCAACTTCTGCTCATCCAGGTGACCACGGCAGTGACCAGCCAGAGGCCCAGGGGGAAGCAGCCGTGTGGTACAGACAGGGACAGGCTCACCCACTGGGGCCTGTAGATGGAAAGCGTTTCCCCTGTGGGTGGTGGGGGTGGCAGGCACCCTGCAAACCCGGAGACACGAAGGAAGAGACATTTTAGATGTTTCACGTGGGAATGAGATATCGGAACTCAACTGTCCTTTTAGGTCTTGACAGCCCATCAGCCCGTGAAAGGCTTTCAAAATGGGCTGGCTTTTCACCTGTCTGGAGTGAGCTCTTCTCAAGCAGGTCATATAACTGAGGCCACCTCTCAGCTTTGTTTCCCTTTTTTTTTTTTTAAATAACAGCATTATTTAGATATAATTTACCCATTGAAAGTATACAATTCAGTGGTTGTGCTATATTCACAGAAAGGTGCCATTTTCCTTGTTTTCTATTATGTTTTATCTTTTCCCACCTATTTCTCCTTTACTACTTTTTCATAAGTGAATATTTTCCAATATAATATTTTAATTCCCTTAATGATTTTTTCAGTATATTTTTGGAGGTTTGGGGTTTTTTCAGTCATTGCTGTAAGGATTACCATATACATTTTACGAGAATGGAGTTCACTTTCCTCCTAAATTCTGGGGAGATACAGAACCATCCCTCCTGAGTAGCTCTGTTCCTCTTCCCCTTCTTGTGTTATTACTGTTACGTATCGTACATCTATGTATGTTATAGGCCAACATTACATGGTTGCAGTTACACTTTTTATAGTTTTATGTCACTTAAAGAAGTTGGAGAAGAAAGGAAAGCAATTGTATGTATTAATAGAGTTTGTCACGTTAGCCTTCTTGTTCATCACTCCTGCTTTCTTCACTTGTGGGCTCGAGGAGCATCTGGTGCCATTTCTTTACTCCAGTATGTCTTCACTTGTGCTGTTATTGTCAACTGCGTTTCAATGTGATATGCCCAACAGTGCAGTGTGTGCCTATTATTTCACACAACTGTTTTTTAAGCCATTTGAAAGAAGAAAGAAGAAATATGCATTTATACCATCTTTTTATAATTTCATAATTACTTTTACCGGTGTCATTTGCATTTTGTATAACTGTCTGGGATCAATTGCTTTCACCCTAAACAACTTCTTTTAGTATTTCTTTTTTTTAATTATTTTTTAAATTATTTTTTATTGAACTATAGTCAGTTAAAATGTGTCAATTTCTGGTGTAATTTCTGGCACAATATCCCGGTCATTCATATACGTACGTATATTCATTTTCGTATTCTTTTTCATTAAAGGTTATTTCAAGATATTGACTATAGTTCCCTGTACTCTACAGAAAAAATGTGTTGGGTTTTTTGAATGTATTTTTATATATAGTGGCTAAATAACATTTGCAAATCTCAAACTCCTAAATTTATCCCTTCCCACTCCCTTTCCCCTGGTAACCATAAGATTGTCTACCATGTCTGTAAGTCTGTTTCTGTTTTGTAGGTAAGTTCATTAGTGTCCTTTTTTTTTTTTTTTTTTTTTAGATTCCACATATGAGTGATATCATATGGTATTTTTCTTTCTCTTTCTGGCTTACTTCACTTAGAATGACAATCTCTAGGTCCATCCACGTTGCTGCAAATGGCATTATTTTATTCTTTTATTTTATGGCTGAGTAGTATTCCACTGTATAAATATACTTTTATCTAGTCATCTCTCGATGGACATTTAGGTTGCTTCCATGTCTTAGCTATTGTAAATAGTGCTGTTATGAACATTGGGGTGCATGTATCTTTTCACATTAGAGTTCCCTCCAGATACACAATGAGAAGGGGGATTGCTGGATCATATGGTAAATCTATTTTTAGTTTTTTGAGGAATCTCCATACTGTTTTCCGTAATGGCTGCGCCAAGCTACATTCCCACCTGCAGTGTAAGAAAGTTTCCCTTTTCTCCACACCCTCTCCAGCATTTATCTTTTGTGGATATTTTAATGATGGCCATTCTGATGGTGTGAAGTGATACCTCATTGTAGTTTTGATTTGCTTTTCTCTGATAATTAGCCATATTGAGCATTTTTTGTGTGCCTATTTTCCTTTAGTATTTCTTGTAAGACAGGTCTGCTGGCAACAAAATCTCTCAGTTTTTATCTGGAAGTGTCTTTATTTCTTATTCTTTTATATAAGGTAGTTTTACAGGATACAAGATTCTTGGTTGAGTTGTTTTTTTTTTTTTTTGTCTTTCAACACTTTGAATATAAGAATTAATATACTTTAAAAAAGGAATAAATATACTTTAATCTTCCCCCACATACACTTGAATATAAAATATTTAAAGCAGCATTTGTTTAATAATCCCTAACAAATGCTCATCTAAATGTTTGAGTGAACTTACATTTAAATTAATTGTTTGAATATGTCATCCACCTGTCTTCTGGCCTCCTTTGTTTCTGATGAGAAGTTGGCTGTTAATCATATTGGGGTTCCCTTGTAAATTATCGAGTCATTTTTCTCTTGTTACTTTTCAAGATTTTCTCTTTGTCCTTTATCGCTTCACTATGATGTGTCTGGGTGTGGGTCTCTTTGTATTTATCTTACATGGAATTTACTGAGCTTCTGGTATATGTAGTTTAAGGTTTTTCATCAGGTTTGGGAAGTTTTCAGCCATTATTTCTTCAAATATTTTCCTATTCCTTTCTCTTTTTTTTTCACCTGGCATTCCAGATATGTGTAGGCTGGTGCACTTAATGGTGTGCCACACATTTCTCCAAGACTCTACTCATTTTTTACTATTTTTTTCTCCATATACTTCAGATTACATAATTCCCGTCAATCTTTTTCACTGATTCTTTCTTCCGCCAATTCAGGTAAACTGTTGAGCCGCCTCTAGTGAGTTTTTCATTTCAGTTATTGTACTTTCAACTAGAGTGTTCCTGCTGTCCACAGTGCAAATGAGAATGAGGTCAGCTCTCCCAAGAGTACCCTGCCCTTTCTAGGTGGTAATTACAGATTGTCAACCACTAGCAAACTGTCCAGAGCACAGGGATTGAGAAGGCTAAGACAGATGGAGGAGCAGGTGTGGGTTTTGTGATCCACATCAAGTCTCAAAAAGCCTCCAGAAAACTTTAAACCTTTCGGATGGAGCCTCTTAGACATAAATTTGCCACGGGGACTGCAGGTGAGGGGACTACTTTACTTAGTCAAAAGTTTCGTATCAGAAGTTTAACTTGATAATTGGACACCACGTTCCTTTTGATAAAAAATAAATAATGTTTAGGGACTCAAGCCAGTCAGGGGTTAATTTGATTTGTGCAGAGAAGACAATTTTGTCAAATAGAAATAAATGGGCCAAAAGAAGTTCTTCGATCTAAGATGTACCTATGAGACGCGGTCTTTTTCCATGACCTGGAAAAATGCCTTCAGAAACTCCCCTCCTGGAAGTGGGGACCAGCCTTCCTTTTCAGTCTTGAGCTGTGACCAGTTGCGGACCTCATATGTTTAAACAGCTAAGATCAGGGCGGGGGAGGTGAGACACTTGATTTGGGATACAATTTGTGTCCTGAAGGTGAGCCAGGCATCTGCCACGGCTCAGAAATGGGAATGAACAAGTTTGTGGAATTAAAGCTGAGCGCCAGTCTGAGGCAACCCTAGGTGGTGAGGTTCGACAGCGACTTCGGGACAGTGACCACCGCAGATCCACCCAGCTTGCTGGAGGGCGCGCCTCTAGAGCCATAGCGCGGGAGCCTTGGTGTGTGTTTATTGAGGGGATGCCTCAGCCGATAGGTTCTCGCTTCCAGGTGCTGCCCCCTCTGAAAGTGGAGTTCTGGGCAGAGCTGCCGTGTCCTAAGCAGGTCACAAACCTCCACGTTGAACCTCTAATACTGCTCTTGCCTGGATGACTCCTGGGGGGAGCTGTAATGTGGTTTGGGTTTAGTTTGCTTTGTTTTGTTTGTCGGTGGTGTTTCTTCGGGTATTAAGACTCTCGCACAGCAAATGCAGGCAGGAGCGAGTACCTCGGGGCTGGCACTGGGCTGCCACAGGGAAGAGATGGGAGAACGCAGCCTGTGTTCACACGGTCTCCCCTCCGTCAGAGGGTGGCCCAGGTGCTGTGGAATCAGCTGAACAAGGAGACCCGGGAACATCACATCATGTGTGTGGAGTTGTTCTACCGGCTGCACTGCCTGGCCCCGACGGCCAGCATCTGTGAGGACATCATCTGCCACGCCCTCCTGGACCCCGACAAGGTGAGTCTTTGCAGCCGGTAACCTCCATCCAGCAGTGATCGGACTCCCCACACTCAGGCAGGCTCACCTGTATCTGGTGGGGGTCTTTCTGGGGCTCCGTGGACATCCCAGTTAATGAGCAGACATGGTGCATTAGGAACATTTTAATAAATCAGTAATTTCAGGACCAGAAGGCCTCCTGAAGCATGAGCCATCCCCTGTAGAGTCATATCAAGGCAGGGAAATCTGCCCAGGCTCCCATGATGTTTGCGGGGCTTCTGGAGCTATGGGTGAAGTAGATGGTCGTAGAGAATGTGTTGGCCTTTGAAGCCCCAGCTCGTCTTTGCTGTCAGGTCGTGTCCTATTGTCTAAGCCATTCAACCTGGCACTACCAAGGAGCATGAGGGGGCCAGGCTCTGTGTTTTCCTTCAACCACAGGCCTACGTGTGACCCTGGACTTGGGCCAATGCTGAGTCTGTAATATGCGCTTTCCTAAAAGTGCACCCATGTTAAAGTGAGGATGCGGGTCCTCCTGTCCTCCAGGTCCCACCAGGCACTAATGAGACTCCAGCATCTCTGCCCTGGTTGCTGCCTTTTTCCTGAGCTCCTGTTTGATATTTAAACTGGATTTGCTGCCACTGAGAACAGTGTTCTGTTAAGAAATCAGGTTCCTCACTCTTATTTCTGTCCTAATCAAGGGAACAAGATTGGAAGCTCTGTTTCGATTTTCTGTCATCTGGCACCTGACGAGGGAGATCCAAGGCAGTCGGGTGACATCTCACAATCGCTCCTTTGACAGGTGAGGGAGTCTTCATTATAACTTTCCCTTAGTGCAAAAGGCCACTTTGCAGAAGTTCCGGGTCAGCGTGTCAGGCTGGTGAGAGGGGGGGATGTGTGAGATGGAAAACTTGACCCTGTGTTCTTGATGCAGAGCAAACAATTCCTGTGATCCCCTAAGTGAATTCAGACCAGATAGTTGTGAATACCTGGTAGGAATTTTCTTAATTTGGTCGTGGAGGGAGGAAGCCCAGCACATGTCAGAATCACCCAAGGAGCTTGTAGTATGTGCCCCACGAGGGAGCTTGCAGGGAAATGAAGATGGTCTGGATCTCGATTGGACGGCAGGAACCCTGCGTGTGTACGCTTGTCAGGTCATCAACCACACCCTGAAGACGTGTGTTCTTTTGCAAGTGCATCCTACTCCATGTTGTTGTTTTTTTTAAATTCCCTACCTTGTTTCTGAAGTTGGAGGTGTGGGGTCAGACAGCCTTAGAGAGATGCCAGCTGATTCTGACGCCTGAGCTCCCCAGCCCAGACTTGGGGTGAGGCTTGGGCATCGGGGTTTTATTTTTTATTGAAGTATATTTGACTTACAACGTTGTGTTAGTTTTTGGTGGACAGCATATTGATTCAGTTATATATATATTCTTTGTCGTTACAGGTTATTGCAAGATACTGAATGTAGTTTTCTGTGTTGTACATTAGGACCTTGTTGTTTATCTCTTTTACATACAGTAGTTCGTATCTGCCAATCCCCAAACTCCTAATTTCTCTCTCCTCCCGCATCCCCTTTGGTAACCATAAATTTGTTTTCTATGTCTTTCTGTTTTATAAGTAAGTTCATTTGTATATATTTTTTAGATTCCACATATAAGTGGAATCATATCATATGATATTTGTCTTTCTCTGTCTGACTGACTTCACTTAGTAAGATAATCTCCACGTCCAATCATGTTGCTGCAAATGGCATTATTTCATTTTTTTAATGGTTGAGTAGTACTCCATTGTCTACATATGTACACCACGCCTTCTTTATCCAGTCATGTGTCCATGGACATTTAGGTTGCTTCCGTGTCTTGTCTGTTGTAAATAGTGTGGCTATGGACATTGGGGTGCATGTAGCTTTTTGAACTGTAGTTTTCTCCGGGTATGGCATCAGAATTTAGAAGCTCCCCCAGTGACTCTAGCTGAAGGCAAGGTTGAGATCCCTGGTCCTTCCTGCCTGGGTCCTCAAGCCCAGCCTGGATGAAGCTTTCTGAGGGCATCCCAGCACACAGGGCCCTGAATGCCGACCCGACGGTGTGCTTCCATACCCCACCCCCACCCCGCAGGTCCCTGTTCGTCGTGCTGGACAGCCTGGCCTGCACGGACGGCGCAATCAGTGCTGCCGCCCAGGGCTGGCTGGTGCGGGCGCTCTCCCTCGGCGACGTGGCGCGCATCCTCGAACCCGTGCTCCTGCTTCTGCTCCAGCCCAAGACCCAGAGGACCTCCATTCACTGCCTCAAGCAGGAGAACTCAGCAGGTGAGCACACCACACGGGCTGGGTGCTGGGCCAGCTGTGTGTCGCCAGAACCCTGGACCTGGGATTGAGGAAGGGGTGGCCTGGACTCCAACCACCCAGTGTGACAGTCAGGGCACTTTGACCTACTTGGTGGTTTTGCCAGATTCAAAAGGTACAAAGGTATTTTGTATGGACGTTTAAATCCTAAGGCTCAGATGAACTGGCACTTAGGAATGCCAGGTAGTGAGTGTGTTGTTCTCACTGAAAAATCTAATTTTTTTATGTTATAAAGGAAAATTTTTTAAAAATTTACAATAAAAATAGCTGAATCTTGATTCTTGGCTAGAAAAAACAATTCAAGGGCATCTAAGGTAGGAGGAGGGGAAAGCAGACTGTCCACCCAGAGGTCCCTAAGGCCAGCCCTTCGCTCAGAAAAGATATCTGATGTCTGGCGGGAAATGAAGTTTGGGTTGGCCAGGCTCGCAGTTCTCAGACCTGGGGCGGGAGAGCTGAGGTTGCCCCCAGGTCTGCACGATCAAGAATGTGGCAATTTGCATGAGGTCTCATCCGTTATACTTGACCTATAAAAATTACTTCTGCTTGGAACCGTCAACAGCAAGGTAAGTGGTTTTTTCCTATCCCCTCTCTAAGGTTCTTCCCAGTTGTTAACAGCTAATCAGAAACACGGAAGTCAACCTTTGGGTTCTGAGAACTTTGAGAGGCATCTTTAACACAGATTTAAAAGAGTCAAGGTAGAAAGAAGAAAAGAAAAAGACTAAAATAAAACTGATGAGTTCATTGCATTTCAGTGGTTAATACCTAGCACAGTTTCTGAACTGACGTTACTTCTCACAGTGGCTGTATTTTATGACTTCCTGCAGTTTTCTAAGTGATGGTTTTACAAGTTTTAATTAGTTTGTTTGGCTTACTGGGTTGTAAATACTCACAGTCACAGTCTTATCTTACAGAGAAGAGCTGCCTAACGCCTAAATAAGCAAAGATTTCTGAGGTGGCTTCCTCTTTACAGGGCTCCTTGCCTAGAACTATAACTTCCGGTTTTTCTGTAGAGGGGAAAGCTGGCTGCCTTCTCAAAGAGGAGACATTTTATTACTCCACATCCTAAGAAAGTAAAATTCAAAGATGTTTAAACTAAGCACCTTCTTAAAAGTTTGGCTTCCATTTATGGCAGCTAAATTTTTAAGTGTTCCCTTGTTGTAAGAGGAAAGTTTTAACTCCACGGTTCGTTGAGTTTTGAAGGTCTCTTGGCACCTCCTCTAATTCCTCTAATCAAGGTTTAATGCTACCTGCCTAATGAGAGAAAATGTGTTTTCTCTGCCATGCTCTTTCCCTGGAAGCAACTAGACGTGCTTGCCCTGCACACTCCCTCTGTAATCTAATTTTGAAATACTGTTGTACACATCAGGCAGCTCATCTATTTCTCATATCTTAATTCTCCCTTTTTTTCTAATCTGGCTTAATATGCATGGACTAGATTTGTTGAAAGTTGCATATTAAAAATATTTGGCAACACCAAAGATGCCTGGCTTTTCACTCCTTTTTAAAAGACACCTGAGCACCTTAAAAGATTGTGTATTTTCTGATCGCAGAGGGACTAACATGCTTGTTTTATAAATTGGAATAATTGGAAAGAAAAAGTACACGTGAAAGTCCTTGTGATGCTGGCTGGTACAGCACGTTACCGTTAATGGTGCAGCAGATACCCTTCCAGACTTCTTCACTGCTGCGTATAATTCCCTCCTGTAAATGGGCTCATCTATACAGCTGGATTCTGCAGCTTGGGTTTTTTCTTTTACTTAATATATCATACACATTGCTCCATATCAGTACATGTAGCTGTATCTTTAAAAAACCCAAACAGTAAGTAGCATGTGCTGTGAGTTTGTCAACCCGCCTCTTCCTATGGATACTTTTATTTGCTTTCCTGTTTGTTTTTATATAAAACGTTTCAGTGATACGCTTTTAGCTTTGAAAACCTTCTGCTGATGTTTCTGTAGGATAACTTTTTTGAAAGGAAACTCCTGGGAGAAAATGATAGGCATTTTTTTTTAAATCACCCTCCCCCAAACTTGTGATATTTATGTTTTCTATGACAGTGTAACTAAATTATCCAATTTCTTGAACATTTTAAAAGACCTGTTCACTTTGCATGTCTGCCTTCCTTTGGTAATGTAATCTAGACTCTAGTGATGTCATTTCATGGGAGAATTTTATTTTATTTTATTGTGTTGTTTTTTACAATTTTTTATTAAGGTATAGTTGATTTACGGTATTACGTAAGTTTCACGTGCATGACATAGTGATTCACCATTTTTAAGGGTTTATAGTTATTATAACATATTGACTGTATTCCCTGTGCTGTACAATATATCCTTGTAGCTTATTTACTTTATACATAGTAGTTTATACCTCTTAAACCCCTACCCCTGTCTTACCCCTTCCTCATGGCAGAATTTTATTAATATTGATCTTTCTGCCTGGCTTTAAGACAAAAATCACTCTGAAACTGACTTATCCTAAGTGATCTTCCTGTTCTGAAGTCGTCTGTCATCTTGTAATTTTCAGAAGACTGGCATCGTTGGTTTAACAGGAAGCACACATCTTGCAAAGAGGCGTGGGGCGCTCCTGACCTTCAGGAGGGCGGCTCTGCAGAGAGTGCACCCCTGAGCCAGCTCACCACCGTGGACCGCGAGGCCATCTGGGCCGAGGTGGAGAAGGAACCAGAGAAGTGCCCAGCAGGCAGCGAGCCGAGCGAGGAAGACCTTCCCTGCTCCGCACACCTGCTGGACGGGACGGCCTGCGGCACCCTGGACAGCAGTGAGCACACCGAGTCTGCGGACGCCGAGTCCGGCCCCACAGACAGCGAGAACACGTCCTCCCTCTCCTCCCCTTCCCATGACCCACAGGAGCTGAGCAGTGGCGAGCACTGCTGTGCATCCATCCCCGGGGCCAGCAGGGCCCCCCACAAGCGCTCCACTCTGCTGGCAGCCTTCCAGGCAGAAAACCTCAAGTCCAACACCAAGTTGAGCCTGACGCGCGTGGACTCAGACAAGACCCAGGCTTCAGAGTCGCTCTCCAGTGACGAAGAGGCTGACCTGGAGCTCCAGGCCCTGACCACATCCAGGCTGCTGAAGCAGCAGCGGGAGAGGCAGGAGATGATTGAGGCCTTATTCAAGCACATCCTGCTCTACCTGCAGCCCTACGACTCCCGGCGAGTGCTTTATGCCTTCTCCGTGCTGGAGGCCGTGCTCAAAACCAACCCCAGGGAGTTTATTGAGGCTGTGTCTGGGACCAGCATGGACACCAGCTCCACCGCGCACCTAAACCTCATCTCCAACCTCCTAGCTCGCCATCAGGAGGCCCTCATTGGCCAGAGTTTCTACGGAAAGCTCCAGACCCAGCCTCCCAGTGTGTTCCCCCACTCTCTGCTGCTCGAGCTCCTCACCTACCTGTGCCTGAGCTTCCTGCGAAGCTACTACCCTTGTTACTTGAAGGTCTCCCACCGAGACATCCTCGGCAACCGGGATGTGCAGGTCAAAAGCGTGGAGGTGTTGATTCGAATGATGACGCAGCTGGTCTCAGTGGCCAAGTCAGCCGAAGGGAAGAACGTGGAGTTCATCCACAGCCTGCTGCAGCGGTGCAAAGTCCAGGAGTTTGTCCTGCTCTCACTGTCCGCGTCCATGTACACGAGTCAGAAGCGCTATGGGCTGGCCACGTCGGAGCGAGGCAGGGCCCCGCGGGAGGACAGCATCTTCGAGGAGAGCCTCATCAACCTGGGCCAGGACCAGATCTGGAGCGAGCACCCCCTGCAGATTGAGCTGCTGAAGCTGCTGCAGGTGCTAATCGTCTTGGAGCACCACCTGGGCCAGGTGCAGGAGGAGGCCGAAAATCAGCCGGACCTGTCCCGGGAGTGGCGGCGGACGCTGAACTTTCAACAGGCCATCAGCGCCATGCAGTACGTGCAGCCCCACCCCCTCACCTCGCAGGGGCTGCTAGTCTCGGCCGTGGTGAGGGGCCTGCAGCCGGCCTACGGCTATGGCATGCACCCCGCCTGGGTTAGCTTGGTCACGCAGTCCTTGCCGTACTTCGGGAAGTCCCTGGGCTGGACAGTGACCCCCTTCCTTGTCCAGATTTGCAAAAACTTGGACGAGCTGGTCAAGCAGTATGAAAGCGAATCGGTGAAGCTCTCCATCAGGTATGGTGAACCCTTGGATGCATTCCTGTTGCTTTAATGACATCTTTTGTCACAAATGGCTGATTTGCTCTAGAAGCCAATTGGTGGGTAATTTCAACCTAATCAAAAGCCTAGTTAGCCTTGTCAGGAGGGGTAACTAAATGGTCAGCTCTTCTATTTTTAATTCCTCATGGCTACCCAGGCTAGTTCTGTGTTACAGGACAAGTCAGTCACTGTCCATTATTTTTGCAAAACAGAAATAAAAATGTGAATCCTCATCACAGAAATTCTGAAACATCTGGAAACATTTTTCCAAAGTGACTATAAAAATGTAAATCAGCACAAAAGATGCCTGTCATTATTATAACAATATCCCATTATGAGAGCCCCAGGTTCTTCTGAGTGATATCTCTCTGGTTTCTATGTTTATATGTAGGATTAAAAACCTTTATGGCCTCATTCTTAAAAAGTCTCAAAACTAGTTTCTCGTTTCTTCACCAAAGCGTAACCTCCAAGAGGGAAAACATTTCTCCGGATTATCCACTCACTCTTCTGGAAGGTCTAACAACCATTAGTCATTTTTGTCTTTTGGAACAACCCAACCAAAACAGAAAGGTAAATTATTTTTTCCTGAGTTCAAGACAGTTCTCGTATACTGTTTTGTCTTTGCTGGGGTTATGTCTGTTCAAATAAGAAATGTATTTATGTGAGTAATACAAGTGAACATGCAAATGTTAATGAAAATGAACACATGCAAATAATGTAAATGTGTATGTAAATATATGTGCAAATATGCACAGGTAAGTAATGCAAATGTGGTTTTGTTCTTGCTGGTACTCCCTGTAGGCAAGTGTAGCTCTCCACCAGGAGTGGATAAAAATGTATCTTTTTTCCATGTTATTTTTTCCTTGACCTTGACCTGTAGGAAGACATTTTAGCTATTGATAGCTCTGTCCTATTTGGGATTAAATTTTAGACTGCAGCCTGTGCTTTGGTTGAGTGACTGGAACAGTTTGTAATGAGGGGTTTCAGAGTCACAGACATCCATCCATCTTTGAAAGAAAGTCTTGGCTTTAAATGCTCAGGGAGGGAGGCATTTTACTTCCAGACCACATGTGGGACTTGCTTGGAAGAGCGCACCAGCGCATCCCACCATCCCACCTCATGGAAAGGGAAACGACACCACAGATGGAGACGAGTCTCATATGTTCATTTTCATTTTTAGACCACTGCTATGAGTGACCCTACCAATTTGAAAAATGCCAAGAATGCTATTCTGGAAGAACTGCCTCGAATTGTTAACACCATGGCCCTTCTCTGGAATGTTCTCAAGAAGGAGGAGACTCAGAAGAGACCTGTCGATCTCCTTGGAGCCACAAACGGATCCTCTTCCATTTACTTTAAAACCACCAAAGTGAGAGAGCTTCCTCTCTGGTTTTATTATTTCCTTTTCTTGTATTGTCCACTGAAAATTAAAATATGCAGGAATATATACACACATAATCAAACCTAATGTGCTCAGTGAATCCCAAGTTAGAAGTAAGTCGGAAGTAGAAATCTCCAGTTTGTTTATTAGAATAAGTTTCCTATTCATAGAAAGAAACGCTTTTTGAGTTGTTTTGTTTATTTTTTCCCCTTTGCCCTTCTTTTTTTAAAAACAAAAATAAAATCCCTGGGGGTTCCAGCTGGGTTACCTGAAGTCTACAAGCAGTTTCTCTCAAGCATGTCTACTAAGACAGTTTCGCCCTTATATTCTGCTTTTAGTGGTGCCTTGAACACATTGAGGTGTCTTTGAGTTTTTTATTGAACCAGAAGCACACAGCCCAGGACAGATCTAGTTCTGTTCCCCAACCAAACTTGGGTCCACTCCCTTGTGTGCAATGAAGCCAATCTACTGGGTTTCGGTGAAGGAAAGTGCAGCATGCATTGTAGGTGCCAGACAAGAAGTGTGGGCAGCTGATGCTCAAAAAACCCGAACTCCCCAATGGGTTTCTGGGAAGAGCTTTTAAGGCACGTGGTCATTGTGCAGTTAGCTGCTTCCATTTGGTAAGGGTTTTAGTGTCTGTAAAACAACTCAGGGATGTAGTGAATGTAAAACAACATCAGATACTGTCATCTGTATACTTCAGGGAGCAACTAAAGATTCTGTGACTGCCATGTGGCTGATCTACTGTTTAAATAGTCACCAGTTCTTGGCAAAAGTACTACTTTTATCACTACATGTTCACATCCTTTCAATCATTAACTTTTGAACCAAGCGTCTGTGACCGGGGAGGCCTGGGAGAGGACAGCTTTTCTACAAACAAGAGGCAGGCAGAGGACATGGGGAGGAGTGGTCTGTCCTGGGAAGGCCCCGCAGGGTCCTGCCCCATTACAGTTCACTCTCCCTTGGAAGCATCCAGGCACGTGACTCAGTCTCTAATTGCCACGTCTAGTAGCTAAGAATTATCTGGCCCTGTCTCACATCAGCTGAGCACCTGTCGGTGCCAGGTGGTGTCCTCAGGGCTTACACTGGCATCTGGCAGCCCCGGTTAAACAAAACAGACCAGAGCACAGGGAGCCAGCTCACCTGGATTCAGCCTCCTGCTCAGGTGCTTTGTGGGACTCTGGACAAGTTCGTTAACCTCTCTGTGCTATGGTTTCCTCAGCTGCAAGCACGATGCCAGGCATCATCCGGGTGCCCTACGTTTATTGGCATATTTAGTCTTCACCTATGATGGATGTACTATTATTGTTCCTTGATTACAGATGAGGACATTGGGGTGTAGAGAGAGTAAATGCTTTGCCCTCAATTGCACACCCATAAGCAGTGATGCTGGAATTAGACCCAGGCAGTCTGACTCCCAGATCGGCGTGCTTTTAGGTTCTGTAACTCACAGGTAGGCTGCAAAATGTTCTGTCAGTTCCAGGAATGCCCTCTAAGGGGATCTGCTGTATTCCAAGCTGCCACAGGAACCTGCTTAAATTAAGCCTAAAAAATAAGTTCTAAAAAGGTTCAGAAAATCCGTAGGCACTCACCCTGAGCTTCAGTTTTCTCATCTGTGAAATGAGTCTGTTACTAGTAGACTGCCTCAGGGGGCTGAGGGAAAGATTCATTGTGATAACGGCTAACATTTATTGAGCACTTAACTCAAGCCCTCCCTGAAGGACCCGAGGCCTCCAGCTGAGACCCCCGCAGTCTCTCTTGAGCAGAAACCGTGGTAGGAGGGAGGGGACATCTCCATCCCACGCTCATTTGTATCTAAGGTGATTCTAGACAAAGACAGTGGGGACAGAGCCCAAAACAAATTCATTCATTCGACAAACATTTGACAAACAAACGTTTATAGCCCAGTGTTTAAGACAGTGGAAGTAAGTCCTTGTCCTGCTGGCAGACACAGGCAGTGTCAATGTAAAAGCAACGCTGAGAAGTGCTACAGAGAAACGAGGGCGCTCTGACGCGTGCGGCCCAGGAACCTGACCGGGGCTGGGGGTCGAGGCGGCCTTCCTGAAGCAGAGTGGCTGAGCTGGGACCCAGCTTGCGGGGCGTTGATGGGGTGGTGGGGGGTGTTAGAGGCCGGGGGACACACAGGATTTACAGAGGGAGAAACGAGGTTTCGTGAATGAAAAAAACCCATGTGGAGCAAAAGGGAGGGTGACGGGTGCTGTCCAGGGCCATGTTGTGGGGTTGTTTTTAATTGGTTACATAGTGAAATTAGTTAAGTGGTACATATTCCTGGAAGTTGATAAAACATCCTTCCTGATGAACATGAGCCCTTCCTGGGCTGGTTGACGTGGGGGCTTTCAGCATGGGAACAGTGCCGGCCCCACTGTTTGGTCCCCCCTTTCTCACTGTGTCTGCAAGGCCTCAGGTGGCTGCTCGCAGGTGGTATTTATCACCTCCCTGGAGTCTCTTCTTGCTCAGCTCAGCTAGCATCTGCCCGTCCACCTGCGGGCCCCCCATACTTCTCCTCCAGCCCCTCCCCTTCCAGGGACTTGCTAGGCCTGGTGCTGGGAGCACTAAGATGGACCCCAGGGCTCCCAGGGTTTACAGGTGGCGGTGAAGCATGTCGTCCGCCGAAGCCCTGATTCCGCTCTTCTTTTCTCTATTTTCCAGACCATACGGCAAAAAATTTTAGACTTCTTGAACCCCTTGACAGCCCACCTTGGAGTCCAGTTAACTGCAGCCGTTGCAGCCGTGTGGAGCAGGAAGAGGGTGAAACACCACAGTAAGACGAAGGTAAAGCCGGAAATCAAGGCGGTAGCTAAACTTACTCTGACAGAATACCAGAGTCACATGTCATCAAAGGTGATGTCAGAGACCAACACGGGAAACTGTGAAAGTAGTTCCACTGCTTTAAAAGCACGCAGTCAGACAGCCGTACCTCGTGACACCGGGGTTGGATGCTGGCTGGGTGGGGGGTGGAACTCGCCCCAGCTTCTGTTTTCTGACTTTCTTTAATGAGTCCGTTGTACTTACGGTTCACCTTTTAAATCTGGCATCTAATAGTATGCTTACAAGAATACATATAACATGTACATTTTAAATAAAGACTTTATAGAGCAGTTTTAGACTTACAACAAAATGAGAGGAAGGTGCAGAGATTTCCCATATTCCCCCGGCCCCGCACGTGCACTCACTGCCCCCTTCAACATCCCTGTCACAGAGGTGTGTTGTCTCAGTTGATGCATTTGAGACGTCGTCATCAACCAGGATCATCAGTCTCTTTTAATTTATAGAAATAATACTTGTCCGTGATGGTGAAGAAAATTTGAATCACCATGTTCCTATGCCCAGACTTCAGTTCGCATTTTGTCTGTTCTTCCCCGACCAACTGGTCCATCACGAGGTCCTTCAGGAGCTCAGTTGACCTGTGTCTGCAAAACCAGCACAGCTTTCTTCCTTGGTTCCCTCTGTCGACCATGCCGGCTCCTGCTCATCCCTCCCTCAGAGGGTCTGCCCCACCCCCGAGCGCTGTCTCAGTGCCCCACATGGACACCTGTTCCCGAGAAGGCCTGAGAGGTTGGTGGCCCTGGCCACCCAGCTTAGAACCTGTGAGGGCTTCTCTGATAATAAACCTGATACTTCCCAGTGCACGTGACCACCTTATGCAGACTTCTTTCATCAAACATACCTCCCACCCTGGGGTTTTCCCGCCGAGGCCAGCTAGTGTGAATCTGGTTTACCTGGTTTTCTTACTGTCCTCATGCTTTGAGGACTGTCTCTTGATATCAGCCTGTTTCCTTCAAATTAAGTCTGTCTGTTTCTTAAACACTCTCTAAGCTTGAACTAACCAGAGTGACTGCCCCATCATCAAATGCACCTTTTATTCCTAATTTACAGCAGAGACTGATTACGTTATTGTGATTAAATGCCTGCCTCACTCTTTGTCAGGACCAACAGAGTCCTTTACTCAGTTTTCATTTAAATATTTGCTTGAAAGATTAAAACAAATCTCTTTCTCCAGGAGCAAGTACTATAGAGCGCTTTCTGTGTGTAATTCTTATTTTTGTTTTCTCTCTGAGCTTTAAAGGTGATTTTTTACTTTTTTTTAAGTTGAAGTATAGTCAGTTTACAATGTTGTGTTAATTTCTTGTGTACAGCATAGTAATTCAGTTATAAAGAATATATATATTCATTTTCATGTTCTTTTCATTATAGGCTATTAAAAGATAAGGAATGTAGTTTCCTGTGCTATACAGTATAAGCTTGCTGTTTATCTGTTTTATATACAGTAGTGTGTATCTGTATATCCTGAGCTCCTAATTTATCCCTCTGCCCTCTCCTTTCCCCTCTGGTAACCATATGCTTTCTATGACTGTGAGTCTGTTTCTGTCTTGTAAATATGTTCATTTGTGTCGGTTTTTTTTAGACTCCACATATAAGTGATATCATGTGATACTCTTTTTTTCTCTGACTGACTCCACTTAGAGTGATGATCTCCAGGTCCATGCATGTTGCTGCAGATAGCATTATTTCATTATTTTTTATGGCTGAGTAGTATTCCATCGAGTATATATACACCACAACTGTTTTATCCATTCATCTGTCAATGGACGTTTAAGTTGCCTCCACGTCTTGGTTATTGTAAATAGTGCTGCTGTGAACACTGGGGTGCATGTATCTTTTTGAATTAGAGCTTCCTCAAGATATATGCCCAGGAGTGGGATTGCTGGGTCATGGGGTAAATCTATTTTCAGTTTTATAAGGAATCTTAAAAGAGTGATTTTCTTTTCTACAGATTGTCCCCGTGGCGAGCGCATCCCAGCTCACCCTCGTCGACCTGACTTGTGCACTGAGTACCCTGCGAACGGACACGGTGCTGCACCTGGTGAAAGAGGTGGTGAAGAGGCCCCCGCAGATCCGAGGGGACGAGGTCAGGAGCCTGGGGGCCCTCCAAAGGAGTGCGTGCCTCTAACTCCGCGTCTTATACAGTGTGTTTGGGAGGGAAACGGGTCACAGGAGCCACTGGGAATTCGGGGGCTGTAAACAGAGGTGTTTTTACCAGGCTTTGCAGGGATGGTATGAAATGTGCCTCATGGGCTTCAGTGCTCCTGTTTTGGGGTGGGGACCGCTTGGGTCAGGGACCACTTCCATCCTTATGTCCCGCTGCAGGCGCTCTGCAAGGGCTTACTGTGTGCTAAATAGAGTAAGTCCTTTAGGGGGAGGCAATAGCATTTGCCTCAAGCAACTTGCAACCTAAAAGGTGTCAAAGATAAGCAAAGCCGGATAACAATTAAAGGTGGAAAAGACCGATTGTATTCAGTAACAACTGCAGCAGGGGAGAGAGCAGGGCTCAGTTCAGATTTCTGCAGAGGTAACTGGGTATTAGAGGCAGAGAATGAAGGGTAGGGAGGGTGAGTGAGCTGGGGCTTCCGCAGAGTCGGGGGCATGGAAAATGACAAACGAGCAGGAAGGGGGTTGGTGGATATAATTAGTCCATTGGGTTTGCAAACTGTAATGTGGAAGGTAGGTTCCTACACTCCCACGGAGACTGGGAGACGGGGGCCCTATCTTTCTCAATGATGATATTTCAGAAGGATGGCTCCCGGGTCTTTGAGAAAGGCATTCCCGTGTTGTAGGCGACATACATGCATCTCAAAGGGAGAGGAAGAACTTGTAAGTATGAGCTTCTCTTAATACATGCTCTAAGGTAGGGAGGTCAGGAACCTGTCAGGTATTGGCTGAACCAACAGCAGATTCCTTCAGAAGCCTAGAGCTTTCCTCCTCGGACAGGCATTTTAAAGGGGTTGGGTTCATCACCTTAAGGGTATGGCTTTGAGCTACTGGAAACCATGCCAGTGTTTGTTCACGTCTCTTAGTGTGTGGGGTGGATGGAATCTTTGTGCTAAAGGTACAACCTTGTGGACCAAGGTTGAGGTCTAGTCAAGAAGAGGGCTCGGAGGAACCTGACTTGGCTGGATAAAGGAAAGCAGCTTTGTCAGTGGATGAGTTAAAACTTCACATAAGTTTTATAAAGGTACAAAATTCACATCATAGGACTTAACTCACACTGGCACTCTGAGAAAGAGGAGATTTCGTCTGGCTGCAGTGAAGGCAGTGGCATTTGAAGGGGGATGTGATTGAACGATGAAGCTCCTCCAGTTTTTCTGCTCCTTGTCCACGTAGCAGTTGAGGGGAGCCGTGCTGCTCAGATGCCTTTTTGTTTATGCACAGTGATTCTGAAACTGAACAGATTTCATGGTTTAACAGTTTTATGCCTTAGAGATTTTTGTTTTTACCAAAGCAGATCTCTTCCTTGAAAGTATTAGAGCTATTTTATTCTTTTTTTTTTACATTTTTATTGATTCATAATCATTTTACAGTGTTGTGTCAAATTCCAGTGTTCAGTACAATTTTTCAGTCATACATGGACTTATACACACTCATTGTCACATTTTTTTCTCTGTGATTTATCAT